GGTGGGGTGGGTATAAGAGAGGGTGGGGTAGGTATAAGAGAGGGGGGGAGGGGAGGGAAGGAGGATATCAATATTGATGATAGTATACACAGTTTATTGAGTATACTAGATGTTTTAACTGTAAGTATGGGGTGGGTGGGTATAAGAGAGGGTGGGGTAGGTATAAGAGAGGGGTGGTGGGGTATAAAAGAGGGGTGGTGGGGTAGGTATAAGAGAGGGGGGTGAGGGAAGGAGGATATCCATGGTGATGATAGTATACACAGTTTATTCAGTATACTAGATGTTTTAACTGTAAGTATGGGGTGGGTGGGTATAAAAGAGGGTGGGGTAGATATAAGAGAGGGGTGGGTGGGGATAAAAGAGGGGTGGTGGGGTATAAAAGAGGGGTGGTGGGGTATAAAAGAGGGGTGGTGGGGTAGGTATAAGAGAGGGGGGTGAGGGAAGGAGGATATCAATATTGATGATAGTATACACAGTTTATTCAGTATTCTAGATATTATAAGTATCAGAGGGAGGTCAGTGGTCTGAGAGTGATAGGTCTCATCATTGGAACAAGAGAATAGTAATTAGAAAAGTATTTTAACTATTTTGGTATACATGTATATTTGATGTTTTAATTTTTAGGGTTATCCATCACCGTATAAAACAGTTTCAGCTCGGGCAGAAGTGGATTCCGTTATTCTTAGGTAAGGCAGATATTTTGCTGTATTTTGATATTGTCATTTTTTGTTCTTTATTTTGATTCTTAACATTTGGATTTTATCATAGTTAAGTTTTGGAGATGAAGGCAACTGTTTCTCAGCTTATTTGAGTTGTAATTTATATTTCAGATTACCAGCGGAAGCGTTTCGTTCTATGTTTGATATGTATCCAGAATCAGCCGTTAGAGTTATTCAGGTAACACAGGTTTTCATATTTCTAGTGTTATCAAGCCCCATATATAACTTGATATGTTCTCAAGCCCCATATATAACTTGATATGTTCTCAAGCCCCATATATAACTTGATATGTTCTCAAGCCCCATATATAACTTGATATGTTCTCAACCTGCGTGATACAAATATCAAATTTTGCATTGATTAATATCCTGGGTCTTCGTTCTTCAAAAATATTTATAGAAAGAATTTGTCACAAGTGTGGAGTAAATAACATTCTTACTGAAATGAGATCTTGACTCTTTAATCAAAAGTCTGATATCGCTGACTACCAGACATTTATAAGCTTTATGTCATACATGTTGGCTGATACAACCAAATCAACAAACTTTCCTTCAATTATTCTGTCAGTTCTGTCAACTTTTGATAGAAATATTCCCAACTGACTTAAAAGAAAATAGTTTGAAAACTTTTTTTCGATTTCAGATTATTATGATACGACTACAGAGAGTGACCTTTCTAGCTCTACATAACTATCTTGGTCTGAGTAACGAACTTTTAACTTCGGTAAGATTGTTTATATCTTCGTTAAATGAACAATTGAAAAAAATGGAAACTATATAATGATAAGTTAATGTTATAATTTATGTAATATTCTATAACAATTTTGAGCAGTGGTGACTTGTGCTTGCTACCCAGAGGAGGTCCAGGCTGCCTTGTTCCTTGCATAGGTTGCTGCAATGTGTTAAGAAAGGTAATTTAATGCAACAAGGCAATTAAATGTTGCTTTAATTTAGCAAATTTTCCCTCAGTGCTCACCTCAAGGTGTTGCTATGTCTGTTTTGGTGCTAAGACTTTAGCCTTTACAACTCTATCTGTTTTGTTTAAAAGTCACCTTGAGGATGTATAACTCTATTTAATTACCTATTTTATTATTTCAGTCACGTGATATGGAATATCGTAAACCTTCTCGTCAATTTTCAACCCCTCATGGCAGCCCACAGAAATCTCTTCACACCCTGGATGAAATGGGGCACGGAGCAGAAGACAATAAACAGAGGTTCAGCAAAAAACTACCTGACGGTAAGCATAGGCCTTTCTTCTAGGGGCGCAGACTTAAAGATCCCTGCACAAGAAGAAGCAATACACCAAGGCCCCGTGTGCTACAGATTTTAAAGATCCCTCAACAGGATAGAGCAATACACCAAGGCCCCGTGTGCTACAGACTTGGCACTTTTAAGATCCCTCAATGGTTGGAAATGGGAAAAAGAGTAGGCAAATGCCGGTCCTGGAAAAGTTTTCCCTCATTGCAGACTGCATGACGTTGTCTTCATTATTAGCCCAATCAGGTACAGAAGAGTTCACTAGCCCTATTTAAAAATCCTCTAGAATACCATAATTGTTTTTTAACTTTAAAATTCCTGCTGAAAAATGCAATAATGATTAGATTTTCATGTATTTTTGTAGAGAAAGTTTTGATCTCTGACGACTTAATGAGACAACCAAGTGATTTTGATGCTGCATGTTTAAGAGCTCGTGTTCAGCAGAATGAGACTAAGAGCGTTACCATCACTGGTAGTCCCAAACATACCAGACATGTGAGTTAGATCTTGTTAATCTATCTGTCTGTCAGTCTGCTATAATGGTGGGAGCCGTGGTGACTCATCGAGTTAGAGGATTGCTCGCTAACCTGAAGGTCCATGGTTGAATTTTGGTATAGGCTAGGATAATACCTTCAGATTTTTTAAACCCAGTTCCAGATTTCAACCGATTTTTTTAGAGCACTTGTTTGAATTTTATGTTGTCATTTGTTCAATAGTGTCAGAAAAGTAATTGGCCAAGGACTAGCTGGTAGAAAGGGTCCTATCTTTGATTGGTTGATAATAACATCATTAGAACAGGACTGCGGTAGAAATCTTGTTAGATTACAATGAAAACAAAATATATCAGGAAAAAAAAAATGTAATTTGATTTTATTTGGATTGAAGCAAAATAAGCTATTTCATTTTTTCCAACTAGTTCACTAAAGGTCTAGTTTTTTTTTCAGACTGCTTCTGATGATACTTCTTATATCCATCATATAAAACCAAAAGCTAAACGTAGTTTTAGTACAGGAGATGATAATACAGTAGATAATTTATCTGGTGTCAGTGAACAGACTATATTACAACAAGCCATCAAAGATTTAGTTGAGGTCCTTGGAATCAAGGTAAGCTTTAAAATTCAGCGTTTTTTTATGACCGCATTTCTTAAAGGGGTAGTATGTAAAATTTTAGTTATCACAAACGTTGTAAACTAACCTGAAAATATTTTAAAATATGTTATTTATATCTGTGTATCTTCTTGATCAAACTGAATTTGTTTTAAAAGGGTTAATTAAAAATAGAGAGTACAAATTGTTAATTAAGCAGTTTGACCTAGTTTTGATGTTTGGCTTTATAATGGCTCAATATTATGATATGAAACCTTTGGAATAAATAGAAGACATATTGCTCTATAATTTGGTGTTTATTTTACTTAAATTCGTGCCTTTATTCTTCTCTTTACCCCGCCCCTAATTTACGCCTTTTTATTTCAGAAAAAGTCCCCAACAAATGGTAGAGCAGAACTGATGTTTTCCTGTCCTGGCCTATTTGGCCCCACCCCCTTGTTAACTTGACCCCACCCCTAATTTACATCTTTGTATTTCAGAGTAAGTCTTTAACAGATGGTAGAGCAGAACTGATGTTTTCCTGTCCTGGCCTATATGGCCCCACCCCCTTATTAACTTGACCCCACCCCTAATTTACGCCTTTTTATTTCAGAATAAGTCTCTAACAGATGGTAAAGTAGAATTGAAGTGTTTTCCTGCCCATTCTGATATAGAACGTCAGGGGTCTCAAGATGCGTGTGTTGTATTTGTTGTTAGTGGACGTCTGGCCATGTTACAAGATATAGTCGGTGAAAACCAGAAAGAGGTTTGTCTTTGACTTAGCTTTCAAACCAACTCACTTGGCACTTAAGTAGCACTTAATTAAAGCTACCATGCTTATATAAAAGCAAAATGAATTTATAATTTAAGGACTATTCTACTCTCAGTAAACTGCATGGCATTGCCCAAATTTATTAGCCCAATCTGGCACATATAAGGTAGATAAAAAAAAAAATTTTGTACTTTCATAGCTGTGACTTGACCATGATAGCTTTAATTCCATGTAATTTTCTAGGCACTGCTGTTCACTGCTGTAAAAGGAGAAGTGGTAGGAACGCTCGCTGTACTGACAGGAGAACCCTCATTCTTTACTATCAGAGCTGCTACAGACTGTCGTGTTGCTGTGATTACTAAGGAAGATTTCTATTTGTAAGTTGATGCTGACTCTTATGGATTGGGGACCCTTGCTATCTAACCTGAAGGTCCATGGTTCAATCCCAGCATAGGTTGGAACTAAGGAAGATTTTTATTTGTTAGTTGATGCCTACCCTTCTGGAACACCTGATTCCATCTTCCTTTTGTGATTCTCAACTTGATTTCACTATACCAAGTCTAGAGAACATATGATTATCCTCTTCTAGTGTTTTTGTAAATTGCCCAAAAACCTCTTGTCTGTGCCTTAAAGAGCTAAAAGATCTAGACTTTTCAAGAAAAACTTGACCCTCATCTTTTTAAAAACAACTTGTTCCATATTTTTTTGTGTCAGACCCCACCCTGTAGTTTTGTAAGCTGAATTATTTTGAATGTTTTTGGTGTTATATTTTCAGTATAATGCGTGAGGAACCATTTATTGTATTAAACGCAGCTCACACTACAGTTAAACGCATGTCACCTTTCGTACGTCAGATTGATTTCGCTCTAGATTGGGAGAGAATTGAAGCTGGTAAAGCTCTCTTCAGGTAGGAGAAATTCAGAACCTGACTTAGCTTACATGTAATTGATTTGTGCTCATCTCATGCTGACACGTGTTTCAGATACACAATCCTCATCAGGGCATTTTGTTTTGAAATGGATAAATAATGGACTTAAGGAACATGGGCAAAGTGACTCACTGAAAAGGACATGTGAGAAGAATTGGTTACATGTATTTGAAATTTAAAATATTACTGTTAATCTTGCCCAAATGCTTTACTAATTTTTTCATGATCAATTCAGACAAGTTAGCAGTTAATGTATTACTTTTGTCCTCTACTAAATGCTTGACGATTATCCAATCCAGACAAAGTGACAGCTGATTATGTATATAATGCTACCTTCTCCTAAATGCTTGACAATTATCTATTTCAGACAAGGTGACAATGCAGATTGTGTGTATATTATACTAACTGGTAGATTACGTACAGTCATACAGCTAGTTGGTGGTAAAAAGGAACTGGTAGGGGAATATGGTCGTGGAGAATTGGTTGGTATCGTAGAAGTTCTCACACAAACTGAAAGAGCTACTACTGCCTTCGCTGTCAGGTATTTTGAATATTTTTAGGATTTCAAGTTTCTTTTTCTCATTGATTCTGATAATGATGGTCAACAAACTTGTAGACAGGATCCTCAAGAACCTAAGTTTTTGTACTTGTAAAATCAACGTCAAGAAGTTTGGCCAACTGACCACCTGGTAGACAGGATCCTCTTGAACCTTGAAAGTTGTTATCCTTCTGAAATCATTACCAAGAGGTTTGGTCAAGGACCAGCTGGTAGACATGATCCTCAAGTAAAAAATAGAATGCAACCTGTATCCATAATAATTCCCTGTATATTTTGTATTGTAGAGATACAGAAGTAGCTAAAATGCCGTCAGGACTGTTGAACGTAATCAAAAGAAGGTACCCTCAGATTGTGACCAGGCTCATTCACTTACTAGGAGAGAGGATTCTAGGGAATCTTCAAAATAGAAACACAGTCACTTTATCAAATCATATACCATTGGGAGGTAAGTTTTAAGTTTAGTAAAATTATTTGGTTCTCTGGATGGCAGGGAACTTCCAATTGATTTGTGGTGAGGACATACAAACAGTTTTTGTCGCCAATTTTTGTAGCCGATGCCCTCACTTCCTCGACAAGATTATCGCGTTGCTGACAGGATTGTGATATTTATTTTTTGTTAGCGATTGTATTTTTTGTATGATATTTATGTTACTAATATTTTTACAGACAATATGTCTCGTCCTGCTGTAACTAATCTTGCTACCGTAGCAGTATTACCCATCTCAGAAGATGTTCCATTGACTAATTTTACTTTAGAGCTACAACATGCATTGAACGGTATAGGTAAGTTACTTTACATCCTCCAGGTTGGCTGTTTTCAATGTCTTAAAAGGCATATCTGTTAAACCCTAAGGAGTTCTAAGGAGTCAAACTCTCCCTTCCCTCAAATTAAGAATAACAACGCTTTAAATAGCCTTGGTAAGTCGTAGTTTCTGAATATAGTCTCTATTTTCCAGGCCTAACTACTAGATTATCCAGTGAGATTATTAAGACTAGACTAGGAGCTCATGCCTTAGATAGGTACGTCTTTCTTATTTACTTTATATATATAGATGTTTATGAAGCTTTTACGAGAGGCATATGAAGTTAAACATTTCAGCAAACTTACAGAATAACTCAATATGATTTATAAACTTGGATACCTCATGTCAGCCACGCAGGTCAGAGAGCTGCCAGTCATTCAGATGGAACATTTAAATGAGGTCCATACACTACAGGCAATACAATGGAAAGGTTTGCCAATAAATTGAGGCCCTGTGTACTACAAGCTGTGCACGTGAAAGATCTCTTGACTGTTGAAAAAGAGTATTCTAAAGCAAAGTTTGATTTGACTTTAATTTCATCAGTCCAAAAGCTAACAGAACAGTAGGATGTAAAACTCTATTTTATTATTGGTCTATTCCAGTGTCAATGAATTCAGAGTATTTAGTTGGCTAGGTCAACAAGAAGATCTTCATCGTATGGTTTTATATCAATGTGATTTCGGACATAGTCGCTGGAATAAATATTGTATGAGACAAGCTGACTGTATTATTATTGTAGGGTTGGGACATAATGAACCCACAGTTGGAGTGGTGAGTGACCCTTTACCCTTTCTCCCAGTGTTCAACTATATATAGCTTTTGTTTTTATATACTCACATGAAATGGGGGGGTGTATATTGGCGTCTATCCACAATTGCTCGTAAACTCTCTCCAGAAGGCACAATTCTTGATGGATTTTGACTAAACTTGGTGTGAGTGTTTGTAATCAACTGATCTTACCTAATGAATGCATGATTGTCATAAGAGGAAATCCAACTTTCATTGAACTTGCTGATAGAGCTTTCACCTATCTATACTACTTTTCATAATTAAAATCTGACACCAAGTTCCACTACAATTAAAACTCTATATACTTAAGAAGTTTAAACTGTCATCACTTTCCAACTCCTATTATTGCCTTTAATGGCTTTGAAAGTTTTTATGATTTCTTCAAAATCTTAACTTTTGCAGGTTGAAAAACAACTAGAGACAGTAGCTGCAAAAGCTCAGAAAGAATTGGTGCTGCTTCATAAAGAGGATGCTGACACTCCCCGTCGTACTGTAGAATGGTTAGAAAACCGTGGTTGGTGTTCCTCACATCATCATTTACGATGTCCCAGTCGTGTTCTTAGTAAAAAATCACCTGAAAGAAGCGTAAGTCAGTGTTTGTACATGTCAACATTCTTTGCATTTTGAAGTTGAAAGTACCTGAGTGGTTTGTCAACTTTTGCTTTCAGAGAGTTACATAAATAATATTGTTTTTTTTTCTCAGTGAGATAAAAGCTAACTTGCTTACTTAAGGGTCTAATCATTTTTTAGCCTAGTTTTCTCTGTCAGTGGTTTAGGTCAGAGGGGCTGACAGGGAAAAGACATCTAGTTGTTCAGATAAAACTGTATATTTCAAAGTTTCCAAAAATATCTGATGTGATAGTTTATATTATCTATGATATTATTTTTACAGCGCCAGATCTATGAGAAGTTATTTCAGAGTGAACCAGACAGGTTGTCTGATTTCTCACGTCTGGCTCGGTTCCTCACTGGTACCTCTATAGGGCTGGTCCTTGGGGGTGGGGGAGCTAGGTAAGCTTTAGATATTTTTCAATTGTTGTTCTGTAAGTGAAATACCCCTGTCAACGATGCGAGTCAGAGAGACGAACATTGAAAAACAGCCTTTGAAGTTTCTTCAGAACCAAAGGCTGGATATTAATAAATTCTTTAGCAATTAATAATTGAAATAGTTCAAAAGTTTATAATTTTATTTTTTCAGGGGTTTAGCTCATGTAGGGATGATAAGAGCTATGACAGAAGCTGGTATCCCAATAGATATGGTGGGAGGAACCAGTATGGGTTCGTTTATCGGAGCTCTCTGGTGTGAGGAGAGAAATATGACCAGGTTCTACCAGCGAGCACGAGAATGGTCTTTTGTGAGTACTCCATTTTTACTTCCAAAATATAAACAAAAGTCATCATTGCCTAATAATGAATAGATTGAAACAAGGTTTACTTTATCCAAATAGCTTCCAAAAAATATTCAAATCATCCTCATTAAAACTTTGCCCTCTTAAAAGAGGTTGACTTTATCCAAATAGCTCAGTGTGATGCGGTCACTTTTATTAATGAAAAAATTGTTAATTCTTGTATTTTGGTTTGCAGGATATGACCTCACTATGGAAGAAAGTATTTGATTTGACCTATCCAGTAACCTCTATGTTTAAAGGTAGGATTGTTCTTTTGTTAGGAGCTAAGTTTTCCTGGTTGCCATGGATTCAACTTTATTTTGTGTTTATAATTTCTTTTCCTTCCTCAAAATAATTGTTTATGTTAAATTTAGAGTTGTCTATAGTTATTTTGTCTGGGTTATACCATATTTTAGGTTTGTTGATTACTGTCATATATAAATTTGTTTTTGGTTGATTGTTTCAGGAGCGTCATTTAATACGAGTATAGAAACAGTATTTAAAGATAGACAAGTTGAAGATTTGTGGATTCCGTATTTCTGTATCACGACTGATATCTCTAACTCTACCATGAGAGTCCACACTAGTGGTAAGTCAATATTATATCCAGAATCTTGCCCTGTTGCTACAGGCTGTGCACGTTAAAGATCCCTCGACAGTTGGAAGGGTGTAAAACCTTAACTCTTTGTACTTCAAGGTTTTGAACATGACATAAAAACCTATTTCAATAATCCAATTAGGTACACAGAACAGTAGGTCATGAAACTCCAATCATCCATTCATATATTCATTCATTCATATATTCATTCATTCATCAATCTATTCATCCATTCATTCATCTATCTATTCATCCATTCATTCATCTATTCATTCATTCATCAATCTATTCATCCATTCATTCATCCATTCATTAATCTATTCATTCATTCATCCATTCATTCATCAATCTATTCATCCATTCATTCATCTATTCATTCATTCATCCATTCATTCATCTATTCATTCATTCATCCATTCATTAATCTATTCATTCATTAATCTATTCATTCATTCATATATTCATTCATTCATCAATCTATTCATCTATTCATCTATTCATATATTCATATATTCATCAATCTATTCATTCATTAATCTATTCATTCATTAATATATTCATTCATTAATCTATTCATTCATTAATATATTCATTCATTAATCTATTCATTCATTCATCAATCTATTCATCCATTCATTCATTCATCTTTTCATCCATTCATTCATTAATCTATTCATCCATTCATTCATCTATTCATCCATTCATTCGTTAATCTATTCATCCATTCATTCGTTAATCTATTCATCCATTAATCTATTCATTCATTAATCTATTCATTCATTCATCCATTCATTCATTAATCTATTCATCCATTCATTAATCTATTCATCCATTCATTCATCTATTCATTAATCTATTCATTCATTCATTCATCTATTCCTTCATTAATCTATTCATCCATTCATTCATTAATCTATTCATTCATTCATTCATTCATTGATCTATTCATCTATTCATTCATTAATCTATTCATCCATTCATTCATTAATCTATTCATCCATTAATCCATTCATTCATTAATCCATTCATCCATTCATTCATTCATTCAATAATCTATTCATTTACCACTTCTCACATTCATTAATAAGGCAGAAAGAAGTAAAACTCCACTCCAATATTTTAATATTTGTATTTTTTAGGAAGTTTATGGCGGTATGTTAGATCAAGTATGTCTTTATCAGGATATTTACCTCCCTTGTGTGACCCAGCAGACGGACATTTATTATTGGACGGTGGTTACGTCAACAATTTACCAGGTTCGTTTTTGTTCCTTTTTTGGGCTATCCCTTTGGGTTACCTTTTGGGGATTGGGGGTTGTTTGTGGAGGGAGAGGGTGGGGTAAGAATAATTTACCAGCAAATAAGATGCGTGATAATCTTAATATGCAATCTTCAATTTAGCTCAGTCAGTAGAGAGTTGGATTGTCATCTGCTATGTGATTAGGTGTAGTTGAAATCTCAAGACTAGATAGATTCTGATGCCACGGCCAGTCCTTCTGATGCTATGCTATGTTAAATTATAATTTGGTTTATATTTTGACAGCTGATGTAATGAGAACTATAGGAGCTCAGACTATATTTGCTATTGATGTGGGAAGCCATGATGAAGATCAGCTGACTAACTATGGTGATGAGCTGTCTGGATGGTGGTTGTTATGGAATCGCTGGAACCCTTGGGCCAAGCCCCTGAAGGTAGGTAGGATATTTAGGGTCATTAGAGAGGGAGGGCAAGAGATTCTGAAATTAAACTCTGGAACACTTCTTTTGCATCCTGATAAAATTTTCTCCATTGCACTGTTGCTCAAATGCACTAGCACAATCGGAACAGAAAAATTTGTCCTACCTCCCTCCTAGAAATTACAATTATAAATTCAGGTACCTGATGTCAACAATCCAGTCACGTCCAGCCTATGTACCAGGTGACCAGCAACTGGAGATTTTATACTCAGGGGGTCTCCCTTTATTAATGTGTCCTCCATGAAGTGCTGGTAGGAAGAAATAAACCATCTTATTTTTATTTTCTCTAGGTACCTGATATGACAGAAATCCAGTCACGTCTGGCCTATGTATCATGTGTCCGGACGTTGGAACTAGTTAAAAACAGTGATTATTGTGAATATATTCGTCCCCCTATTGATAAATATGGTACTCTACAGTTTGGTAGTTTTGATGAGATAGCAGTAAGTTAGATTTCAGACTAGCTCTTATTTTAGATTTTCTTTAGATGTATTTGCAATTAGATATCAAAAGAAGTTGATTAATGTTGATGTTCTGCCCATATACTTCACAAGTAGGTTGTAAAACCCCATTTCATTTCCATGTGGCTGTTTTCATAGCCTAATCAGATGAAGAAGATAAGTATAGCCAACGAAATTTCATTTAAAATATGATATAAATGTCTCTTCTAAGTTGTTTTAGATGTAGAAGTGTTTTTAACTAATAAATTAAGTACCAATTTACTGACAAACTGTCCTATTTTCAGGATGTAGGTTATATCCATGGTAAAACTCTCTTCTCAGGCTGGATAAAAGGTGGTTTATTAGACAAACTATTTGAAGAAAAGGCCAAGGAGAAAGAAAAGATGACACGCCATCATCATGTTCGAAAACATGCTGTAAGTTTATCAAATACTTCTTTTGCCTTTATCTTAAGTAATAAATAGACAAACTCAAGAATCTTTGAGTTTAATGGCAAATTTCTCTTATTGCCCACCTTTATTAGCCTACATGGTGCAGAAAAGTAGGACATAAAACTCATTTCATTTTTTCATTTCGATTTTTGGATTTTTCTTTAATATATATTGGCCCCTCTCTAAAGGAATTTGAAGTTTCGTTGGTTCTAAAAATGTGTTTTCTTTTTCCAGACCCATGTACCAGTGATGGCCTACTTCACAGATTTGGCTGAGTTGGTGTCTAAGATTGACAAACCTAAATCACCTAGTCCTAAATTTGCTCTGGAATACAGTGACAGTGAAGGTGAGGTATATTTTATAGTGCTGAGTTATATTGCAGTCATAATATAAGTATAAGGTAACGAGGGCTACAATATTAGAATCACGATACGGGGGCTACAATATGAGTATCACGATACAGGGGCTACAATATGAGTATCACGATACGGTGGCTACAATATAAGTATCACGATACGGTGGCTACAATATAAGTATCACGATACAGGGGCTACAATATAAGTATCACGATACAGGGGCTACAATATAAGTATCACGATACGGTGGCTACAATATAAGTATCAAGATACAAGGGCTACAATATGAGTAGCAAGATACGGGGGCTACAATATGAGTATCACTATACAGGGGCTACAATATAAGTATCACGATACAGGGGCTACAATATGAGTATCACGATACAGGAGCTACAATATAAGTATCACGATACGGTGGCTACAATATGAGTATCAAGATACAAGGGCTACAATATGAGTAGCAAGATACGGGGGCTACAATATGAGTATCACGATACAGGGGCTACAATATGAGTGGCAAGATACGGGGGCTACAATATGAGTATCACTATACGGGGGCTACAATATGAGTATCACGATACAGGGGCTACAATATGAGTAGCAAGATACGGGGGCTACAATATGAGTATCACTATACGCGGGCTACAATATAAGTATCACGATACAGGGGCTACAATATGAGTAGCAAGATACGGGGGCTACAATATGAGTATCACTATACGGGGGCTACAATATAAGTATGATGATACAAAATAAACTGTAGTCTCTTTTAACAAGTCTTTCCATTCATCTTTGTGTTTCTTGTCAAGTTTTCTGTTCCTTTTAATCAATTTTTTTGTTTTTTCTGTTTTCTAGATGAAATTACAATTGGAGGTGATTCGGCCAATCTGGGTCTAGAACAGTTTGAGGAAGAGGAGGAAGATACTGCTGAAGAAGAAGATGATACAGTTCATGAAGATGATGATGAATATATTGATGATGATGGTTTGGATGATGAGACTTGTCCAGATTCAAATTTATCGTTTGTTGCCCTACCTCCCAGGGTAAGTTTAGGATGATTTTAATAGAGCAATCAGTTTTGATCTGAATTTGAACATTACTTGGCCAGCCCCCTAGAGTATGGTTTTAGTTTGAAGAGTCATTGGAGTCAATAAACTGAGACCCTGTGTGCTACAGGCTGTGCACTTTAAAGATACCGCGACAGTTGGAAATCGAAATAGACTTATCCTGCTTTTTCTGGCAAAACTTCCCTTATGGCACACCGCCTAGCATTTTCTGTATTCATTAGCCCAAGTAGATGCAGAAGGGTGAAGATAAAACTCCATTCATTCCATTTCATTTAAGTTGGACGGCTTTCTCTTCTGAAGACTAGGTGATTTTTTAAAACTTTTTTGGACATTTGTAGGATGGAAATGTAAATTCAGCTGGTAAAAGAAACGGATCAAAAAAGTAACAGACCATTTCAGAAAAGAATTCCAAAGAATTTCTAGTTTATTTTTGGTAAAATTAGTTAACTAAACTGAGGTCCTGTACCTTAACAAATCTGTAGATAAGAATTGATGATAAATGTGTAACTTCATTTTGAAAAATAACCATAATTACAACAAAATAGATGAAACAAGATTTCTTGTGAAACTGAACACTGTTTTATACAACATTTCTTTGTCTTTTTAAACTTAAGTTTCGTCAAACAGATCTAAGCTTTCAATAGACTTAGCAAAAAACTTTGTGGTGGATAAATTTCCCTCATTGCACACTGCATGGTGTTGCCTGTCCTCAGTAGCTTAATAGGATCAGAAAAGTAGGATGTAAAACTCCATTCATTTCATTTATTTGGGTTAATTTAATGTAACAAAAACACTAAGTCAATCTTTGTATTGGTGTAACATAGTGACTTGTTTGTAATACTTTGTTTTAACAATGTAAAACTGATTTCTCTAATGATACTTATATGTATATGTTAAGGTTCGAATAAATGAGATATTGTACAGGATAGAAGAAGTAAATAGGCAATATATGATGTACTATGAAAGATTTTCTTTATACATGAGAAAATAATTACACTATTTAAGTGTTTGAATGCGATGCAGACAGGATTGACTTCTTCTATTTTCTACTGTCTTAATAATCTCTCTATATACAGCACTAGACACAGTACCTTATTTACAGCTTAGACTCCACCCACTTAGATACAGTTGTCAATCACCACAAACAACCTCACAAAATAACCTCGCTCTGTATTACAAGTACCCCATCCACACCTCAATACCATTTTATCAGATATACACGAGTCATTAAAATTTATATTTCATTTACGACACACATCTTTGTCACTTTGTTGTTTGTAGGTAAAACATGGCAGCTGATTGGTCAATATTCAGCTGTCAATCATTCTCGCAGATCAGTGAATTGTCTGACTTGTTTTGTTTTGTTTTTTTTTGATATTATTATTGTATTTTAATCTGTGATGTTTTATTACCAATGCAAGTTGAAGTTGTTGATTTTTTTTCTCGATTTTTGTAACTCTTATCATAAATGATGAAGCCCTAAACTCCACTTAGAGAATAGTGTAGTGTTGTTTTGTTTTTGTAAGAGATGTAGTAGAATTTTATGGAATTGAAAGGAAGAAAAAAAATGTATTTTACGCTGAAAAGATAAAGTGTATTGCTAGTGATTATATTTTGAATTGTAACAGGATTATTTTTAAGATGGAGATCTTGAACTTTGTGACCTTGGCCAGTATTTAAGATTGAAAAGTGAAATTATTCGCCTGTATTTATTAAAATATTTGTAGACATAGTTTTAGCCAGCGAATACAGCCAATCATTGCTCTCGTCGGACTTTATATCAGGAACTCTGATAGGCTGTATTCGCTAAAGTACATTATATCAGGAACTCTGATAGGCTGTATTCGCTAAAGTACAAACCAATCAAATAATTGCATTTATAAACTCCTGTGATACAAGAATAGCGGCTATAGTAGTCAAGGTATAAGACAAAGTTCATAATAGCTTGACATTGTGAAGATGAGTCGAGACTCTGAATACCTTTGTTAAATTTGTTAGGTTGCCATTGTGTTTTATATAGTTGTGTAGAATTGTAACCCCCCACCCTCCCTCTCTCTACCCCCCCTCTCTCTCTCTCTTCTCTTCTCTTCGATTATTGTAAATAGTTCATAATCTATGCATTATTATAGTGCTGCCTAATTTGCATATCTAATTAGTAATTCAAAAATAATTGGGGCAGCTTCATAAAATATTAATTTAATTTCCAGTCATCTGATTGGTCGATCACTTAAATCAATATTGAATCTAGTATAATCAACCAATCAGATTACTGTATTTCTTAAAATCTGGATTTTATCTGAATTAAGTTCTTGTGAAATATGCCCTTGAAAACACCGCTATCTAAGTCAATGTCTATATTTTCAAACCTGTCCTTTAGTAAAGATTATTTTACCAAGTGAACAGCAGACTTTCTCTGTAGATAAAACCATCAAAGAACTTGACCCGTTTCGAGGCCACTGGTATGATCTGCCATGATTAGCAAACATGGTTCAATCAGAAGCTTAAACCGTATATTATATATAGCATTTTTTACCTAAATATTTTGTTTTTGTTGGCTTTGTATATGTAAATATTATTTTAATCAAATTATACTACTGTTGGTTTCATCATTAAACCAGGTTTACATTGCTTGTTTTTATTACATCCTGAGAGGGATGTGTTGCTATGGATATGGAACTATGTGCCTTTCTTACATAGAAATAACAGACAAGGAATTTGTTAACCAACATTTTAAATCTTATGCCAGACTCTAAAAAGGATCTAATGATTTCAACTTAACACTATAGTGATTACCAGTTGTGTATGGTTGTTAATAATGAGTTCAGAACGCAACTCACATGAGAGTTGCAATTGAAAACTTTGATTTCTATTCTTATACCCACCCATACACAACTGGTAATCTCTATGGTGTGAGGGTACCTTAAGTCCATTAATGTGTATTTTCTGTTATTTCTATGTGAAAACGCCACATGGTTTGGTTTGTAGTTGGGGTTCTATAGATGGGAAAGTATGGTGGGCCTAGACAGCTAAAGTCGACTTTTTGATTGGTATTCTTCTTTGCCTGGTTTCTCCAAAAACTGAGCTCAGTGAATGTCTGAAGGTCCAGTTTTTAAATCCAGCATAGGGAGAGATAACATTTTCAATCCAGTTTCCATCCATTAACTTAGTAAAGTTAGGCAATTAAATTCACACCCATTTTTGTCTTATTGCATATAATAGGCATAATGGGGTCTCCTTCCTAATTGCATAACAGTTGACTGGGATAAAATAGGCCTAAAGGGGGTGTTTGCCTAATTGCATAATCCTAATTGCATATAATAGACATAATAGGGGTGTTTGCTTAAATGGATAAAATCCTAATTGCATATAATAGGCATATTGGGGTCTTTGCCTAATTGCATAACAGTTTTATTGGGATAAAATAGGCCTAAAGGGGGTGTTTGCCTAATTGCATAAAATCCTAATTGCATATAATAGGCATATTGGGGTCTTTGCCTAATTGCATAACAGTTTAATGGGATAAAATGGGCCTAAAGGGGGTGTTTGCCTAATTGCATAATCCTAATTGCATATAATAGACATAAAAGGGGTGTTTGCCTAATTGCATAATCCTAATTGCATATAATAGACATAATAGTGGTGATTGCCTAATTGCATAATCCTAATTGCATATAATAGACATAATAGGGGTGTTTGCCTAATTGCATAAAATCCTAATTGCATATAATAGGCATATTGCCTAATAGTGGTGTTTGCCTAATTGCATAATCCTAATTGCATATAATAGACATAATAGGGGTGTTTGCCTAATTGCATAATCCTAATTGCATATAATAGACATAATAGGGGTGTTTGCCTAATTGCATAATCCTAATTGCATATAATAGACATACTAGGGGTGTTTGCCTAATTGCATAATCCTAATTGCATATAATAGACATATTGGAGTCTTTGCCTAATTGCATAACAGTTTAATGGGATAAAATGGGCCTAAAGGTGTTTGCCTAATTGCATAATCCTAATTGCATATAATAGACATAATCCTAATTGCATAATCCTAATTGCATATAATTGCATAAAATCCTAATTGCATATAATAGGCATATTGGAGTCTTTGCCTAATTGCATAACAGTTTAATGGGATAAAATGGGCCTAAAGGGGGTGTTTGCCTAATTGCATAATCCTAATTGCATATAATAGACATAATCCTAATTGCATATAATAGACATAATAGGGGTGTTTGCCTAAATGGATAAAATCCTAATTGCATATAATAGGCATATTGGGGTCTTTGCCTAATTGCATAACAGTTTTATTGGGATAAAATAGGCCTAAAGGGGGTGTTTGCCTAATTGCATAAAAACCTAATTGCATGTAATAGGCATATTGGGGTCTTTGCCTAATTGCATAACAGTTTAATGGGATAAAATGGGCATAATAGGGGTGTTTGCCTAATTGCATAAAATCCTAATTGCATATAATAGACATAATGGGGTCTTTGCCTAATTGCATAACAGTTTAATGGGATAAAATGGGCCTAAAGGGGGTGTTTGCCTAATTGCATAATCCTAATTGCATATAATAGACATAATAGGGGTGTTTGCCTAATTGCATAAACATAATGGGGTCTTTAATGGGATAAAATGGGCATAATAGGGCTCTTTGCATAATTGCATAAAATCCTAATTGCATATAATAGACATAATGGGGTTTTTAATGGGATAAAATGGGCATAATAGGGCTCTTTGCCTAATTGCATAAAATCCTAATTGCATATAATAGACATAATGGGGTCTTTGCCTAATTGCATATAATCCTAATTGCATATAATAGACATAATGGGGTATTTAATTGGATAAAATGGGCATAATAGGGCTCTTTGCCAAATTGCATAAAATCCAAATTGCAATTAATTGCATAAAACCCTAATTGCATATAATAGACATAATGGTGTCTTTGCCTAATTGCATAATCCTAATTGCATATAATAGACATATTGGAGTCTTTGCCTAATTGCATAACAGTTTAATGGGATAAAATGGGCGTAAAGGGGGTGTTTGCCTAATTGCATAATCCTAATTGCATATAATAGACATAATGGTGTCTTTGCCTAATTGCATAACAGTTTAATGGGATAAAATGGGCCTAAAGGGGGTGTTTGCCTAATTGCATAATCCTAATTGCATATAATAGACATAAAAGGGGTGTTTGCCTAATTGCATATAATAGACATAATAGGGGTGTTGGGATAAAATGGGCATAATAGGGGTGTTTGCCTAATTGCATAAAATCCTAATTGCATATAATAGACATAATGGGGTTTTTAATGGGATAAAATGGGCATAATAGGGCTCTTTGTCTACTTGCATAAAATCCTAATTGCATATAATAGACATAATGGTGTCTTTGCCTAATTGCATAAAACCCTAATTGCATATAATACACATAATGGTGTCTTTGCCTAATTGCATAAAATCCTAATTGCATATAATAGACCTAATGGTGTCTTTGCCTAATTGCATAAAATCCTAATTGCATATAATAGACATAATGGGCTCTTTGTCTACTTGCATAAAATCCTAATTGCATATAACAGACATAATGGTGTCTTTGCCTAATTGCATAAAATCCTAATTGCATATAATAGACATAATGGGGTCTTTAATGGGATAAAATGGGCATTCTTTGGTGTCATTTATGCAATTATGCACACACCCATTTATGCAATTATGCACACACCCATTTATGCAATTAAGCTCACACCCATTTTTGCAATTAGGCAAACACCATTTATGCAATTATGCACACACCCATTTATGCAATTAAGCTCACACCCATTTTTGCAAATAAACACACACCCAATTATGCAATTAAGCACACACCCATTTATGCAATTAAGCTCACACCCAATTATGCAATTAAGCACACACCCATTTATGCAATTAAGCTCACACCCATTTATGCAATTAAGCTCACACCCATTTATGCAATTAAGCTCACACCCAATTATGCAATTAAGCACACACCCATTTATGCAATTAAGCTCACACCCATTTATGCAATTAAGCACACACCCATTTATGCAATTAAGCACACACCCATTTATGCAATTAAGCTCACACCCATTTATGCAATTATGCACACACCCATTTATGCAATTATGCTCACACCCAATTATGCAATTAAGCACACACCCATTTATGCAATTAAGCACACACCCATTTATGCAATAAACACACACCCA